CCATGAGTAAGGGGCATCTTTACTACCAATGCTATACCTGGTATCTATAGCTCTATCTGTATTTTTATCTGTACCTGTATGTGTATATATACGTATCTATAAATTTAGTTATAATATATATGTACTAATATCAGAAGTAGAGGAGGTAATAAGGTAGGACCCATTGCTAGATGTGTGCTATTAACTTCATTTTAAAAAATGCATTTATAAAGTCTTGCTTTGTAGCACATGCTAATTTTTCATAGTGTAATTATTCTTCTCATGACTGATTAAAGTCTACCATCATCATGTTATTGAATGTGAGTTGGAAAAGATGTGCACAATCAGCTTGAAGCCAATGGGAGATAGCAAACAATAATCAGTTTCTTAAAAAAAGTTCATCAGGAATGGATCATGATGGTAAATCAGTGAGTCTTCAATAACATAGTCTAAAAATACAAACTCACAATTATAATTGTGTAACATATTTTACAAAAAATTTTGTATAGGTCTTATAAGAGATTATGAACAAGGGTATTAAGAATTATTAACAACCCAAGTAGCAAATTTGACCAAGTTGAATATTAATAGCACTTGTACATAACAAAAGAATGCATATTCTAAGATTATATGACGATATCGATCATACAATAATTATAGAAGATCTGTCTCACTATGCTCCTGACTGCAACAAGAGGATTTAATGATTACCAGTTAAAGAACTTAACCCTATTGACACACATCTGTAAGGCTTGTTTTATATCTCTGTTCCTAAGACTGTAGATGAAGGGGTTCAGCATGGGGGTAACTACCGTGTACATGACTGAAGCAATTATGTCTTTGGAACCCCATGATGAGGAGGACAAGTAAACACTTGCAGTTGTCCCATAGTATAAAAACACCACAGAGAGATGGGAGCCACAGGTAGAAAAGGCTTTAAAGAGTCTCTTAGTGGAGGGCACCCTCAGGATGATGGTCCCTATACGGATATAAGAGCTCAAAATTATACCAAACGGCAGGAAGAAAATCATTCCTCCCTCGGTCAAGATGACCAGCTCATTGAGCGAGATGTCTGAGCAGCTCAGTTTCAGGAGAGCAGCCAAGTCACACAAGAAGTGGGAGATGATATTATTGGCACCAAAGGACAGTCGGACCAAGAGGAGAGTGTGCAACAAATCATGGGCACAGGAGAGAATCCAGGAGCCAGCCACCAGCAGCACACACAGCCTCTCCCTCATGATGGTGGTGTAGTGTAGGGGGTGACAGATGGCCACGTACCTGTCATATGCCATCACAGCCAGGAGATAATTGTCAAGACCAACAAAAAGTACGTAAAAATACAACTGAGAAATGCACCCTATGTAGGAGATGGATT